TTGGGCTGTCTTTGATATGCCAATCAGTGAGATCCTTAGCGGGGGTCAAAACCTGGGTATGTTGGGACAGTCAGAGAATTCATCTGAGTGGGTGATCATAGTGACAGGATCAACCCCTTTGTCGGACAAAGGTAATGATTGGGGATGCACTCTCTCTGATGGAAACCAAGACTACCGGCAGCCAATTTCAATCGTTGAGATTTGTTTTGCAAAATATATTTTTTATGAAATATAAAAGTATATATATTACGGTTTCTAAAATGTTTGCAAAATGTTTTAATTCCCGGTATCCATATAAGCAGAGAGTGCAACATTGTTCCTTGCAGCCGAGGGACCACTTAGGGTAAGTGTTGGGCCCATAGAGCCCATGTGATGGGTTTCAGGGGGTGCACTATCCATAACAGTATATTCGGCCAGGCCTTGTGACAAAGGCTGGGCTGAACCCATGTGGCTGATGTATAGATCAATGTTTGGGTCCCATGCCATACAAGGAAGCCCAACTGGGTAGCAGTTAGGAAGGCTAAGTGAGCACATACTTAATGGGCCTAAAGCCCATTTCGAACTAGGCTAATTTAATCAGTTAAGTAAGGGGCGAATTCTGAGATTGGATTAGCAGATAGGATTAGGTCTTAACCCTATCCACTCAGAGAGTCTAGATTTGAATGTGATTCAAATCTGGAAACCTTCTAATGTGATTAGGAGAAGGCTGATCCAATCTGCAGATAAGATAAGGGTTTACCCTTATCACTTAAAGGGAAGTCTGATACAAATATGATTTGGATCAGCAACTTCTAATGGGATTAGGAGCTGATCCCTTTAAGGCTATAAAAGGAGGAGGGTGCGACAGCTTTTAGACACACAACACAAGTCCTTCACTTGTCTTCAGAGCTGAAATCACAGAAGAGAGAATTCAGCACACCTGCGAAAATTCTCTCTTGCCGCCTCCTTCTTGCTGCCGCCTCACCTGCCTGTTCGACCTCCAGTTCAGTGGGAGAAATCAAGATTCGATCTTGACATCAGTTCCTTGTAAAGGGACTGATAGGAAGCTGTGCTCATGTGCCATCCTGCTATTTCTTGCGAAGGATTAGGTTCTTAGAGAGAACACTGATGATTCTGCTCCATCCTACACTGCGCCATCTTTAGTGTGAGCAGTCTTTGGATCCTTCCTTGGGCGTGAACACCTTCRTTGGGAGATATTATTTCTCTGTATCAGGTATAATCCTCTCCTACTGCTTTTGTTCAGATCTGGTTCGATTCATGGTTCAAGATTGATCATTGAAAAATATGATTTTTCTAAAATAGGGAATGCGATTCCCAGATGAGGGGAGAGAAATTTTTGAAATTCGCCCACCTTATTCCGCAAGATTTGGGTGTCCATATGATGGATCTCTCATTCCTTCAATGGTATCAGAGCAAGGTTCAAGTCTTGAACCAAATTGGATCAAAATCTGAACCTACGCAAATGGGTAGAAGGCGTTCTACCCGATTTGCGTAGATATGATGTTTTTCTAGAAAATTTGTTTCCAGTTAATGGGCGATTAATCTGAAATTAATTTTTATAAATCTAATTATTATTTAGAACTATTTTTTATAATTTTCTTGATTTATGGGTTGTTCATACACATGGAGATCGAAATCTTGATTGGCGCAGGGAACCTGCGATTTTGTAGTTTCTTAATTATTTTATTACATTTGGTTTGTAAAATATATATTTTTTTTTATTTTTAGACTGAATGTATAGGCATTCGATCTGATGTAATTATTAATAGAAATTAGGTTTTCTATTTATTTTATTTTGGATCGAAGATGGCGGCGCAGAGAAGGAGATTTCGTAGATGGGAGAATCGCTATCTGCGATTT